CGCCTATTTCATTCTACGCTTGCAGTAAGATTTCAAATTGCTCCTGCTGCAACATTGGAGAGTTAAATAGCGACCCGAGATAAAAGGAGCACCGGAACAGGATAGTCTTTTTAAGCACCCTACCAGTCTCGCACCTGTTTACGTGCTGATAAATAGGAGCGAGGCTATCGAAGCACTCGCTCTAACCACCGTCCTAATCCAGCCAACGATCCGTTGTTCTTATCCTTTACACCAGTTTACACCTTCTCGATCCAACGTAACTTTTTTCACAACCAACCTGTTTTTCGTTGACTGCTAGGATTATCTACCTTAGATATTTGAGGTAGTTTATAACATTTCCGTTTTTATTCCTGCTTTTTTTAAATAGACTGTATTATCTAAAACTAATAGATATAAACGAAATAAATAGTGTTTCTCATTTCATAATGAGATCGTTGGAAACATACTTTTACTCTTAATGTCGGTATTAACGAATGAAGATAATTTTAATTAGAAATAATGCCGATTCGATACACGGGCCGCTTTCAATTAAAATAGAATCAGTTGAGCTACCTATTTGGCACGAATGCTGAACACGTTCGCATCAAGGTATCGATGAATCGACATTGAATCGAGCCAAGCACACTGTCATTCTCACGTTACGGACCGTCAAGCCGTTGCCGACAAGGATATTCCGACGTGATGAACCGTTGCCAGCGTGACGTTCGCTGGTCATCATAGCTAATCGGCAGGATACGGGACGTCTGGACGTAAACACGATGCGAAGGTGTGCCAACAGATATCACACAAGTTGCAAGTAACGATTCGTGTGAAATCGGAGCCATTCGTAGCAAACGCAGTTATGAATTTTGGATGATTTGTGATTTATAGGCTGCGGATTTTATTTAGTCAAAAGAAAGTTGAGTAAGGTATAAATTAATTCAGAATATCAGAAGCTGAAGTCTATTAGCGATATCAGTGACTACAGGGCGAGATGGGTATTACGAAATTCCGTGAAATTAAGAATCACCGATCTGTCGTTCGACATCCACGTTTACATCCCCATTGGATCTTGAACGATCATATTTGCATAGGGAGCGACGCGTCGGACATTCGTTCGATCCGATGGACAAGCTGATGACAATGAGGTTGTGTTTAGATGCGGAGGCATTGATACGGGTCGCTGAGGTCACTCATTGTTAATGGATTGTCGTGGGGAATGAAATAGAACTGGGTTTGAAATGGGATCACCCATGTAATCAGGAAAATATTCTTAGGAGTATATAGGAAAAATAACACATTAGATACATGTAGCTTATACAAATAATTTTAAGTTTTAATAATACGAGAACTATATACAGATAATCCTCTAAAAAAAGACAGTTTATATCAGTCTAATATATTGATGTAGCTGATTTGTATACTCTGATTAATAAATAAATAAATAAGTAAATGAATAAATGAATACATAAATTCTGAGTGGTAAATGACATCGCAGGACGTATATGGTGTTTGCAGGTGTTGGCGACCGATCGTACCGTACAGGTTCCGATACGGAGGGAGCCGCAACCACCGATAATCCGACAACACCGTTCCCAACACCGCCTCCAACCTTGACGCCGAATCACCGACAGGCGTCTCCGTTTCCTCTGGAGAGCACCAACTCCCGCCGGCATCATTACAACGGGAGCATATCATCGGAGAGATCCCGCAACGGCAACGGTACGGAGTTAATTAGAGCCGCGAGCAGATTACGTTCACTCGTACGTGCGCCCGTGCAACGCACAATGTCTACACTCTTATAAATGTTATGAAATAGACGACTAGCTAGCTACTGGGCTGTTATATCGCGAGTCAGCTTGGTCGTGGATAGATTAATGCAAGAGTAACATTTACCGTGCGATCCGAAATAACATTTATGTTATCTTGATTCCAGTCCTTGCACATACGTATTTATCATTCGACAAGCGGGTCTTGTAATTATAAAACGTAACGGAAAACTTTGAAACTTAGCTTTTTTTATTATAATTCACGTCTCGTATCATTCTTCTTAAATGCTTGGTCTTATTATTACTGCTGCATTTAATACAGTTAAATTTCAGTAGTTTCGAAACTATCTATTTTACGAACTAGACAATTTTATACTATTTTCCTTTTTATGGTATTTGAAAATCTAAAGTAACTTCAAATTCTACTCGCTTTGACTACGGAAAAGAATCTTCCGAGAGATATTCTAATGTATCCAAAAATATTCCAACGATTCTGATACGCAGGTGAAACGGTTTATGCGGCACCGTCGAAAAAGACGAGCACCGGGGGCGGAACGCTAGGGCGACGTACGCGACGAGGTCACACGAGCGCTTTGAGTAGCAGCTCCACGGCCAGCGCAAATGGTAAGTTCACCATTCCGTACAGACTTCCATCTACCGCACCATCGCTGCCTGTGCATCATGCATCACGTTCATTGCATTATTTTACTCATCGCATGCGATCATACTGATTTCACATTAAGTTTGTCACCATATTCACTCCGAATGAAAAATTAACAACTTGTAACGAGATACGTCGTCGTTACGTTGTATTTTCAACGTTTCATCAAAGCTGGAGAAATTTCGAATATGGCTTGAAACAGAATTGAGAAATTCGGGATGGAGGAATCCAAAAGCCGATCCACATTTTGAGATATTGCAGAGTCGAGTGCACATAAATTCATCGATCGCCGCAAGCGCAACCGGTCCTGGAAATCGCAATGTGAAATCTCTCGCGCAGCGATAAGTTAACGATCCGTGCCTCAAATACGATTACCGGACTAACAGGATTACCGGCTGGTATCGAGCCTCTGACCAGAGTTAAATCGGGTTTCGTGTAAACGTGTTCCTTGTTAAAAGCTTAATATTAATAACTAACATCTATTCGACGCTCGAGAAATCAGAATCATCTGTGACTTTTATCCTTTGTACCGATACGTTACAATTTCCATTTCATTGATTCAGTGGCCACGATTACGGAATTGAATGCAGGATTTGGGATACTACTTAATAAATTGCAATTAAAGGTCGAAGTTACGTAGAACACAGAACTTTATTTCAAATCGATATAACCGAAGTGTATGTGAGAGAACTAAGATTGACTGAGCTAAAGATAAGAAGGTTGAGCTATTTAATAGTTTGGGAAAATGAACTTCGGATGTAAGGAAAAAACAAAGAGAATTGAAAGGTGATGAGTTCAGTATAAGTAATAGTGAAATTGGTTATCGATACGATTAGGGATGAGACAGCTTGAGTACGTGAAAGAGAATGTATGAGAAGACGATGGTAGAATTCAGTTTTCCGCAGGCTAATTCAATCGTGAAACAACTGCTGAGAAGATCGAGTGCGAGAGTCCAATAATCTGGACGGCAGAGGATCCACAGAGATCCAATTATCCGTCGATCTTCACCGCAAAACAATTACACTCGAATTTCTGGTTTGCACGGAGCGCGGTTTCAGCTGCGGTAATTGCAATGTTTCGCGAAACGGCCGTGGGCAAGTGGCTGCCGGGATCTTAAGGCAAAGACAACCGTTTCAGAGACAGCATTCTACCGATCCGCCGCTACCGCCCCGCCCACCGGCTAACAGCGTCGTAATCGACAAACTGCCTTATACTTCGGCTCATTAAATAACCAAAGGACTCTCGATTTTGAGAGTTAAGTTCATTATTGTCGGATCCAGCAACATTGCCGTCACCGCTACTCATCGATATAGTAAGTTCGCGTAACGAGAACGGAGCCTCGTTAGTGTTGAGGAGACAATCTTGTTGAAAGCATACAAAAGATTTGGAAGAGACTGCTGGCAGCATAAACACAAGCACGATTATGACAGATGTTTTATCATAGAATAAGTCGAAATAAATTGGCACATTTATAGAAAAAGTAAATAAGATCAAAAAAAACTTGTAAAAGAAAATGCTTCACATAAGATAAATATTTCAATTTCTACTCAGCTAAGCGTGATCTCGCTATCAACTGACTGAGCATAAAAACAATGTATGAGTCAAAGTTTATAATGAAAAGTACTTCCATGCATGGAATTTAATATACATTCAAGTGAATCCGGCAAAAAACCATTTACAATCAATTTTTCTTATTAAATGAAGGCTTGAAATACATATCTTTAATGCCCGTATTTTCGTTCAGAACACGGAGTCGTTATTTCTACTAAAAAATTCGCAGTGAGTAGGAATTGGGACGTTTACCTTATTGCCGTATGAAGAAATTGAGGCGATCGTATTACAGAAGTTTAGAAATAGCTGCCATTAGTGATAACCAGACACCAAACCGTCTAACAGGGTCCTGGCTCATCGGCGGCGGCAGAGAAAGGCACTGCGAAATGTTGGTAGGAGCCGAAAAGCCTCGAGGGTGGTAACCGAGTTACCAGTTGCGACTAGCGCGAGGCCGAGCTAGTTAGGGCGTAGGTCAGCGTTAGAAGTTAGCAGAGCGGGTATATTGTTTTGGAATGCCGTGGCTATTTAGGCCTGGGCTAGTCGTCGCGGCCGACGACGTTCAGCAGGTTCCTCGGTGCGCCGCGTAACGCAGTTTTAGCGTTACCACGGAGATGAGAAAGTAGCTTTGCGGCTTCTCCCTGAGCCCTTCGTCGCCAAGCTCTCTCGACGTCGTGGCGAGGCTGGATGCCAAACTTTTAAACGAAATTTCGCCGGATCTCGTTTGGCTCGGGTGCTTCGTTGACGCCGGAACCCCGGCTACCAATTAGTCGTCCGCCGATATCGCGAAACAACGCCGAGGTTGATAAGAGGAAAGGAAAGGGAGATTGAGAGAGAAAGAACAGCGGCGCGGCAAGATCGAGCACGCCAGCACGGATCGTTTCATCCGGGAATTTGCCGCTCCGCCAGCCATTGCCTCTGCCTGCTGAAGTGTGATCGCATTACGCGTAGATTCCGTGGAAATTAGCGGCGCGGATTAAGATCCGCGCCGCCCACGCTCCGTGGACGTCTATATAGTTTTCCTCAAACGGCGTACATAAGGCGTAGTACATCGTCTCACAGAAGCTTCGGAGTACATATACGTACCAATAAATTCGCTAATTTCTGAATTCTGAAGTTTTCAAAAATCTATAAATTTATAAAACAAGAAAATAGTCACGACGGAGTTGATTCGGTAAAAGTTTCATTTCTTTATTTGCAATTTATAAATAATATCCTCCGGAGTTTGAACTTTTGAGTGCTGTTGTACGTAGCTGGTGCAACACTGCGGAGACGCACACATAGAAGGATCATCACCCTCGGGGTGTATAAGGGCGTTGGTTAAAGTGGATCGCTGAATCGAACTTCTTGACGTTGACGTGTCAGTGATACGTGAGCGACGACGTAGTCGGCGGATGTAGGTTTCCGCCACGCATCGCCTCCGGTTAAGACCCCGTGATCTAATCGAAGATTGGTTAAATTCATTTTCGGACCGTGAAATGAGAAATTGTAAAATCAATATAATGTTTGGAGTTATAAGGATGAAGGCGAGGGGCGGATCATTATCGAAAATATTCATATTTAAATACGATGATGTAAGATGCTGAAGAGATAATTCGAACGTTCTAAACAAAATGCTGATAGTCTATTATTATGTCGGAATTTTATTTTTAATAACAAAAACGCTCTGGGTGAAGTCTTTTATTTTCATTATTCATAATAAT